AGACTATTCTTAATCCAGCAATGTAAGTTTTATTTATTTTTTGTTTTTGATTTTCCGAAAAAAAGAACCAGGTTGTTATTAGCCAAATAAAATGAGGGAGAGAGAAAGCAAGGAAAATTTTACGTCTGAGAGACGTTTCTTTTTTAGGGATGTTTAGAAAGAGTATTTTCATTGCATTATAGGTATTTCTGATTTTTCTGAGTTTGTTGTCTATATAACTTCCCCATCCAAGTTTTTGTGTGATTGTGACACCTAAATATCTAAATGAGTTTACAAATTCTATTTTTTTATTTTTAAATTCTATTTTAGGCATTTTAGGAGCAACAATATTATGACTTAATAGCGCTTTAGTTTTGTTGATATTAACTGGTAAAAGATTATTTTCTGAAAACTTTTTTAGGATATTCATTGCATGCTTTGCTCTTTCTTCTAGTTCGATTATGTTCAATGAAAACTTTTTTTCAAGTGATCCTGTTATTAATATTGCTAAATCATCTGCAAAAAGATGTGTTGTTAATTGGAAGAAGGCGGACGGTAAGAAATGTACATGTAATCTGAATAGAGTTGCAGCTAAGATTGATCCCTGAGGTGCGCCAACTTTCATGTTTATTGTTCTAGAAATTGTGTCACCATAATGTATCGCTAGAGTTCTATTTTGAAGCCATGAGGCAATCCATTTAATATAAGACAGGGGCATTTCGAGTTTATATAATGTGGAGATTAATGCAGGGAACCACATGTTGTCGAATGCTGAGAGAAAATCAACAAAAATACAAAGGGCAGGTCTGTTACATGCAGTAATTGTCAATCGAATATCCTCTATCAATGAAATTATTCTTGTTTGTAATCTTCTTTCTGCGGTGAACCCTGATTGTTCGTCTACATAAATGTTCTGTTCGTGACACCACTTCAGTATTCTTTTATGAATAATCCTTTCGTACCATTTTCCTATGTTAGGTAGTAAAGAGATTGGCCTTAGTTTATTCTCGGTCGGGTACAGGCCATCTTTTGACAAACAGATCACTTTGGCATGTTTACTTTCCTCAAAAAAGTTTCCTTTCGTGGCACATTTATTGAATAGTACTGTGATGATTCCTAAATATTGCTCAGGGAGTTGTTTTAGAATAAATGCTGATGTACCCACACTATCACTTGATTTTTTTGGTTTAAATTTTTTCCATTCTAGTTGAACCTCGTTCATTGTTATTGGTTCTAATGGCATATTTGGCGTGTATTCAATTTGGTTAAATCTTTCTATCGCAAGTAAGTGTTCGCTATTTGATTTATCGTATTCAGGTTCATGAAAGTGTTTCTCGAAGTAGTTAGCAAGTATTTCAACAATTTTTGTATTTTCTGTTATGATTTCAGATCCATTTTTAATTCCTTTAAATTGAGGAGAATATACGTGGAATGAAGGTTTTGCGAATTTCCATAGGTTGTGTCCATAGCAATCCATTTTACTTTTTGTTCTCTTTTTTCATATAAAAATTTAGTTCTTTGATCGATGAATATTTCTTTTAATGAAAGATAGTATTGAAGTTTGGTATCAGTTTTATTTCTTCTATAGCTTCTTTTTGCCTTATTTACAGATCTTGCAAGTAGTACTAACTCAGGTGGCCATGGTGCACGATATTTTGTAGCATTTTCATATATACTGCACTTATCCCGCAGAGATGATAAAAATGAAGAGAATAGTGAGAAGAATGTTTGCTCATCAAGATTGTAGATTAAAGACATCCAATATTCATGTACAAGAAGAAGAAAAAATTTGAATAATTTCCAATTTGTTTTCGTGAAATATGCATCTTCTATTTTTCCTATAGGAGATTGAAATAAAATAGGAAAGTGATCTGATGTTCCTTCAGTAAGCACTTCTGTATTCCAACCCTTAGCATCGTGTGTTATTCCAAAATCTATAATTGCATCCGATCTTTTCGATGTAGGCTTAGTTGGAGCAATAATTTCGTTTCCAGTTGATTCAAACCAGTTTAATAAGTGCACTCCACTTGTATTGTTCATTTTGCAACCCCAATTTATATGTTTTGCATTAAAGTCACCAAAAATATAGAAAGATTTGTTTTGGTATTTTGATAATAGTTGAAATGGTGGCAGAGAATTTGGAGGGACATATATAGCACCAATGTGTATATCATCATGATTGGAAGTTAATTTAATCATCAAAAAATTTAGATCCTTTTCTACTACTTTGCATTCAATATGAAATTGATATAGAATTATCACTCCTCCGAAAGAATTAGTACCGGGTTGAGAAATTGCATGATAATTTGGAAATTTTATCTGTTTACGTATAGCAGCACCTACTCCTGTAAGAATACAAATATGTGGTTGATAATTGGAAAGCAGTAAATCTACATCCGCAACATGAGTATTCAATCCTTCGACATTGTATAACAAAAAAAGTAAATTCTGTTTGGGGAACTGTGGTCTTTCTTTTTTCCATTCATTGCATAGACTAGATATTGACTTACGAGAGTTCCATTCATTAATCATTTCCATAATGCGATCTTTTTCTTCATCTTTACCATTAAACGAACCAGCTGCTTGATAGGAAATGAACGGCTTAGAGTAATGGAATGTTGTATTAGTCATTATTTAATTCTAAACTATTGACTGCTTGAGATAAGAGCTGACCTTGTTGATCGACGAGATTATGAAGAGATTTTTGGCTTGTAATAAGAGTATCGTTACGTTCTTTCATGCATTCAATTGAGTTTGAAATGTATTGTACTAATTGACGTGTTTCATTGGTGTTACCATTCATTTTATTTTGATCATTTAAATTTGCAGTTAACTGTTGAAAAAGAGTTAATGTTGAAGATAATAATGGGATGAAATCATTTATAATTGTGTTGCACCGTTCCACATTTTCATTTTGATATTTAGTTTGTGCTGAAATTATTAATAGAATCGATTTTATTTTTTTTATATTATTATCGTATTTATTTTGACATTGTTGTATTTTATTGTTAAATTCTTCTCTTAATTTTTCAATTTCATTTTCCTTATTTTTTATTTCTTTCCATAGAGCATCATCAGCTGTTGAATTAATGTAGTTAGATCGGTGTTTATCGAGTGATGGCCAGCCGTGTGAATTTATATTAAAAGGTAAATGTTGAGTTTGATTATTTAATGTAGCATTAAAAACTGTATTTTTACTCATTGAGCTTCTACTACTTACAATCATATTATTTTTATCTCCATCTTCTCGACATTCGGTAGGTATAAATAGTTTGACATTTGGAGGTAATAAATAAGGTTTTTGCTTTAGTCGTTGTAGAAGAGCTCGTCTATAATCCATTAGAAATTTACATTTGTAATCTGTTGCAATATGATTTTGTTTACACCGATGGCAACATATGTTGCATTCATTGTGGTTACCATTTGATTTATCTTCACCGCATCTGCGACAGGCCTCATATTTGAGGTTGCAATGCTTCCTTACATGCCCAGGATCATTACATTTTGAACAAAATAACAGTCGTGGTGGTGCAAGAAATTCATTTACTTCAATTATATGACCATCAATTGTTAATCCACCTTGGTGCAATAATTTATCATATTCAATTGCTGATTTAATTTCAATTCTTATATGTCGGGATTTTCCTGTATTTGATCCATTCATTTCTTCAATGTTAAATAACGTATTAATATGAGAACTGATTTCATTCTGAATGTCATCAATTGTAATATAATTTGGCACATATTTTAATATTAATGAGTGTTGACTTGGTAAATGTTTTGGTCTTGAAGGCAGAATGTCGGTTTGAGCTAATGTTTTTGGATAGTTGTTGACTTCGCAAAGATATACAAAAAGTTCAATATTTTTTGCAAAGCATACTAAATCTCCATTTTTATCTATGAACCAATATTCAAATCCCAAAGGTAGTGTAAAATGTTTATTCAATTTTTTAAAATCTGTTTCAATGTGTACGAATAAAGCTTTAATGATCTCTTTCCCCTTTTGATGATCCACTAATTTAGGTGTACATTTAATATATAGAGGTGGAAGATGCTGTTCAACAGCAAAATGTAGAGCATGTTGAGAAACATAAATGTTATTATTTTTTATAATTTCATTATTTTGATTTTCTTTTACATTATTATTTTCATTATTTTCATTTAGATTTTGACGTAAAGTTGACATACGGCTATGATTCATAACTGAGTCATCATTGTTTGGTATGTTATTTTTGTAGCTTCTTCGTTCACTAGAATCATAGTGGTGACTCATGTCCTTTGAAATGTTTTTTGTTCGTGTGTTGTTTGTGTTGTACGTTTTATTTCTGCTGTTAATAAATAGACGACTGTTGTTGCTGCTAGTCATTGTCAGTCTGCTTTGTTCTATGACATTATGTTCGTCGTTATCTGTAATATCCATTGTACTTTTTTCATAAGTTCTTTGTTTTCTTTTGTTTCCTTTCGTAATAAAGATAAATGGATTATTATCATCATCTTGAGAGTCACCTTCGCCATAACAGCTTGTTGAGGTAAGTTGTCTTTTAAATTGTTGATTTGTTTCTTCACTGTGTATTTTACTACTAATTTTTTGTACATCTTTACTTGAAATTGAATTGTTTTCATTTCTTAATTGTATTAATTCTTGTATTATTTCATGATTATGATCACATAAATTATCTTTATCTTTACTCGTCATATTTGTATAATTATTATTAAATTCGTTTGTCATTTTGCTTTTGAAGTAAATTTATAATAAATATGTAATTCTTAAAGTAATATATTAATATCGAAATTACACAATGTACGATACTATAGTAATACGTACATATACGAGAGGAAGACAAACCGTCTTACTCTCACTGTGCAAATTGGAAAAGTTTGCATGTACTGTAATCTTATTGCTAGAAGAAGAGAAATATTTGTTAATCTTACATTTTCTTCAACGTATCTTGGTGCACAAAGGCAAGGCTTATACGTCTTGAAAATAGTTAATACAACAA